GGGCTCACGACTGAACCTGAAGTGAACAATGAGCTAGCGCCGTCTTATCTCCTATGCGCAAAAGGCTTCTGGGCATCGTCTGCCCAGTAACACGACGTTAGTTAATGTAGACAAATGAAGCAGAATTTTTAAATGAGATCCCATTTTTCAAAGACGATCTCAAGATATGATGCAGGTCGGGGTTGTCCGATTCTTAACAGTTCGTTAAATAAAGAGCAGCTAGTGTTAGAGAGTGACTTTTTAAAAAATGATAGATTCTTATTTATAGCGAAGTTCCAGTCATTAATTTTAAAGGGAGAAAGCACAAAAGCAGGAGTGGGTTCATTAAAAAATTTGACATTAGTAATTTAATTAAATTGGGTCTTTGAGTATCATTGCAGAAAATGAAACATTAGTTTTACACCGATTCTCAACCCATTCGGCATATTAAACAATATCTCCCCCCTACCTATGAATTTTTTTTAATATAGCTAGTAACTCCATGTGTGTCTGTCAAAGTTGTGGGTGAATGCCTATTAGTGGACTCTACAGAGGCACTTTTAATGTAAAGTGCTTAATTCTAAGCGCTTTCCAAAGGTTCAGTTATAAGCATCATCTTCTCTCTTTTCTGCCCTATCTGAGTTTCAATATAGGTAGGCATCACCATGGTATCTAAGAGGCTTTCTGGGGGAAACTGAAGCACAGGGAGGGGAAGCCATTATTATTAGAAGCAGAATCTGTATAATTATAGCCCCAATTGAGATCAGGGTCCCATTGTGCCAGGGGTCGGCAACCTTTCAGAAGTGGTGTGCCGAGTCTTCATTTATTCACTCTAATTTAAGTATTCGCGTGCCAGTCATACATTTTAACATTTTTAGAGGTCTCTCTCTAGAAGTCTATATTATGTAACTAAACTATTGTTGTATGTAAAGTAAATAAGGTTTTTAAAATGTTTTAAGAAGCTTCATTTAAAATTAAATTAAAATGCAGAGCCCCCCAGACCGGTGGCCAGGGCCCAGGCAGTGTGAGTGCCACTGAAAATCAGCTCGTGTGCCACCTTTGGCACACAGGCCATAGGTTGCCTACCCCTGTGCTAGATGCTGTACAGACACCTAGTAAGAGACGGTCCCTTTCCCAAAGAGCTTATCATTTAAATAGACGAGATGGAAAAAAGGATGGGAGGGGAAACTGAGGCAGCGCTGAGGTTTTCAAAACAGTCCAAAAAAGATTTAGATGCATCTTCCATTAGAATTAACGGAAGCCTCGGCAACTCGGGTTCTGTTTAACCTGGGAACTGGAGCGCTAGGGAACCACAGGGTCGGTCAGCCACTTTGTCTGTTTGTCCAGCAGCCTCAATAAAAGAATCCCCTTTTATATTCATTACAGCCAAGTCTTGCTTCATCTTCAATGGTCTATTTATAAATGGAGGCATAGAACTCCTTCCTACAGTGTCTTAAATGCAATGAGGTTGAAAGTGATTTGATGCAGGTTCTACCGGCTGGGTCTGTCTTTCTGTGCATGACACAGCAGAAAATTGAGTCGCTCGTCTGAAATGTTTCCTGGTGGCAGGGCGGTAGCACGGTGCCATTACGCCAATTACAGTGACTAAATAGGTCGTTATGAACGTTCACTTCATTTCACCTGGCTGTGCACACCTCTACCTTTGTTTTCCTTTACTACCTCCTCTGTATACTTAGCATCTCATTTTGCTGTTACTCTTGCTCTTCTCCTTAGCAGGTTCTCAGACTCAACGTCCCTGAGCTCTCAGGAATTCATCCTTTTTGTGCATGCCCTTGGCAAAATTCCTGTATGTGCGGTAAACACTCAATCAGCTCTGAAACAGAAACTCTTCTCCGTTATATTTTCTGCAGTGTTGCATTGCTGAGGAAGAGGGCTGGTCCGTAAGGGCCTGGTTCAAAGCGGACTACGCCAGTGGAAGTCTTTTCATTGTCTTTGTTGGGCTTTGCATCAGGCCCTAAAAACCTGAATAGACTTGATCTTTTTGGAGGGTTTTATTGGGAGCCTGTGGAGTTTGATACTGATTCTCTAGGGCTGCTGAACAGAGGCATTGGTGAAAAATGGTAGGATTTATTACAGTGTCTGCTGCTGCCTACTTGACATTAAAATTGGATATTGTGGGCCAGACCCTTATCTGATGTAAATTGGTGTAACTCTGTTGCCTTTGTTGGATATGCTAATTTTATACTAGTTGAGGATCTAGCCATATATGTGACACCTAAAGTGCTGAGCTTTGGGTCTTTTTGTCTTAAGAGTAATTGCTAATTCCAGACTTTGCCATTTTATATACCATTACACAAAGACGTACACAGTTTCACCCGTATTGCAGAAGACTGTGTGCCCTGCCTGGTGAATTCCATTGAATAACCTTGAGTTCCTGAGTAAAACATAATCTGTTGAGATTTTCATACTGTAAATACCTAAAATGGATAGAGAAAATATCTTGATTCTGTGACGGGATCCCTGGGGTGCAGCCTGGGACGGTGGGACCGCTGTGCCCCCTGAACTCTCTCCAGCCTTGGCTGTCTCTCACAGTGCCTTGCTAGTGACCAGCAGCAAACCCCTCCAGGTGATGTGATCACAACCGCATGGGAAGACACAACACCCAGCTAGATTGCATGAATGCTCCCAGAGCCACTCATGAATCACACCGGGAAAGGCAGCATCCAAATCCCCCCAGCTCCCAGCCTTGTACCTCAGAAATATACCATCTTGCACTGCTCATGATGAGCAAAGCAGATTTATTAATTGGCTCACCACTTCATCAATGGAAAGTGGATATACACCAGTCTTTGCCAAACCGGAGCAGATTTGCCACACACTTCATACAAACTCACTGGTAAAGATAAACAGCAAAAGAAGTTTATTGGCTACAAAAGATAGATTTTAAGTGATATTAAGTGATAGCAAAAAGTCAGAGTCAGTTACCAAAGTAAAATAAAAAATATATATATAAGCACGCAGAGTAGGTGGGTGAAGGAGAAAGGCCCAGCATGTGGCCACTGGGACTGAGGGTATAAAACAGACAATGTGCTTGGAGAACACAAGTCCAGGCATGTCTGGGGGCATTGCTGAGTCTCCAGGCAAGGTTGCGCAATTCCCCTGGTGTGGGCCTCATGCAAGTGAGTCATTGCATTGAAGCTCCCTTGCTGGACAATGGTTGTTAACGGGTTGATTGACATCCTGCCCCGGGTGTTGGTTACTTTCCTTGCTGTTGCTTCTGGGGAGCTAATATCTGGCTGATT